CTGATTTGAATTTGATTTTAGCTATCAAAACATTGTAAAGAACTAATGATCTCTGGTTAGGTCAGTTGAATTTGGACAGCTCATAGACTGATCAGCTCCTTGCTCTGTGCTAAATCAAGTACACCACCTGATTCTACACTGCCTTGGTTGAAAAGGCATCAGAGCACCCACAGCTTATGGGACAAGGAGAGAGAACGACATCCCAGCCAGTTAGCCACACCTTGATTTTAAAAAATTCTACAGAAACATCAGAGAGAAATTTAACTGGCTTTAGACAATAAGAACAAAGCACCAAAGCAAAATAAGTAGTAGAAGTCTTGGCTCATTCCTATTAGTCCTTATTTCACTGATACAGCTTTTCAGTACCCACACACACTTGGGCCATCTGGAACAACTGCAGAAAGGTGTGACGGCACCGTTTTCCCCTCTGCATCTGTTTCAGGAAAGGCTTTTTAAATTGCAGCACCATAGGAAAAAGCAACTCTTTTTTTCTCTTCACAAACACTAAATTATATTGGACTAAAAAGAACAGTTTAAACATATTTGTCCCCTATTTGTGTTTGGTGAACTTGGAGAGAGTGAGAGTGAGAAAGAGAGAGAGAGAGAGAAAGATAGATAGATGACAAAAAAATATTTTTTTTAATTTTTAATTTTACAAGTCATACAAACTTATCATAGGCTAGCAATCTGACATTACAATCTCTATACATATACAGAATGCTGTATTCTTTGAATTAAGAGGGTACTTATAAGCATACGTTTATCATCACAGGCAGGATATCTACAGCTGCAGTAACTACGAGATCACGGGTCATTTAAAGACACTCTGCCTCTCTGTGACACTTTCTGATGCTCTCAATATACCCCACCACACCTGTGAGCTAAACTGCCACTCCTCCTGAACCTATCTCCACACATTTACTTACTCGCTTTCCTTTTTTGGTTTAATAGGAAAGTAGAAAAGGAAGCAAGAAAGCAAGGAATTTCCCTAGCAGAACAGACGGAGCTTTCATCAAAGGCAGCACCACAGCAGCTCTCCCAACATCTGCAGCAGCTTTCCTGCTTCTCGTGCTAGGCCTGACTGACCCAGAGGGCTCTACACCCTGGCTGGATCCTCCTGGGCAGGCTCAGCCTCCATGTGCGGCTCAGGCAGCTCCGCGCTGCCGGCGGGGGCGTGCAGAGCCCCCGCACCCCGCTCCCTGCCGGCTCCTCCCGAGCGCGCTGCGCTGCGAGGCTGCCAGGAACGCTGGGCAATCCCACTGCAACGAGATCTGGGGCGGAAGAACGGGAGGAAAAGAGAAGGAGCTGTTTGTTTTTAAGCTACTCTCGCATGCCCTGCAACGCACAGCCAGGAAATTGAGAGTTAACAGCAGAGCGCGTCTGAGGCCATTACAACGCTGCGAGGCTACAAGTTGCAGGAGGCGACCGGAGCTCGGCTCGGGAGAGGCCGCCGTGTTCCACCTACCCACCCTCCCTTCCTCCACTCCCACCCGTGCCCCTCACAGGGGCTTCCACGTCGCGGCCGGGCACGGCAGCCGCGGGCGCTGTTCCGCACCCAGCGGCGGCTTCACAGCCCGAATGCGGGGCGGGCCGGGCGCGGGGAGCCGCGGGGGCGAGGGGCTGGGCGGCGGCCGCCGACTCACCCGCGCCGTGACCTTGTAGACGGTGTGGCCGCGGGGGTGGCGGCGCGGCTCCGTCACGGTGTAGAAGCGGGCCAGGTCGGCGCCGCGCTCCCGTGGGCTCAGCATCCTGCTGCTGCCCCCGCCGCGCCGCCCGCCCGCCCGGCACAGGCGGAAGCGGCGCCCGGGAACGCCCCGCCCCGCCCGGGCGGTGCCGGGGGCCCGGCCCGGGGAGCCCCGCCCGCCGCGGGATGCTCGGATGCTCGGATGCTCGGGGTTACGACTGGCGATCGCTCCCCGAGGAGGAAGGTCCGCGCCGCAGGGATGAGGCCGAGGTGTCGCGGCCCAGACGTGGCAGGCACAGCCCCGCGGCGGTAGTCCAGCCCCGTGCCAGGTGTTCTGCAAGGGCACGACCGAGGGGAATTTACACTTGGAGGGGACTGACCGCCGAGCCCCCCGCTCACACAGGCACCCGTGGCCTCTATATCCGTAATGAGCCCCTGGTGCGCCGTTCCCAGCGTCTGCCGTGGGCTATTTTTAAGCTATGCTTCCCTAAATCCATAGGCCTGTAACGCAGAAATGACTCACGGATTTTAAAGAGGAATGCTGCCAGAAAGGCAAGTTTGATGGTTATCGAGTCACCATGTTTTGTGTGTTGTGTCCCCTCCGGGTTCTTTAAGCTGCTCCTGGACTTCTCCCTGCTGATGGGCTCCCGTGCGTGCATAGGTCTGCAGAACACTTTGGTCTTAGGAAACGCTCCAGGGTTTGAGGGGCATTGCTTCAGTTCTAAGGAGCATAACTCTGTGCCACAGGACCTTATCCTTTTGTAACATCACCTTTGATTTCTTGTCTGTAGTGGGGCTTGTACCAATGTAGAACTCACACTTTAGATTATATACACTGTTTCGATTTTTTTAAAAATCACTGTAGTTTCATTCATTTAATTGCAGATGTTTAAAAAAAACAGCTTTTCCTTACTAGGTTATTAATATCTCTGCTCTCATGCAGGTTTTTGACATAAAGTATTTAATATAAATACTTAATCATGTGACTTTGTGAAAGATGAGAGTCTTGTACTGAACTTCATAGTAAGCAAGTGCCTTTCCTTTGAGGAACATTTTCTTAAGGAAGAGGGAAGAAAGAGGGCATTGGTTGTTAGCAGCTCACTTCTCACTTATCTTCTGAGGAGGGAAGAACATGTCCTTAACATCTTGTGCTGCTACATATAACTTCATGGAAGTTCTATAAATTATCAAAAGTTTGCAAATTCAAGTACTTGGGGGAGAGAGTGAGTAACTAAAGAGGCAAACACATCAGGCTTAGGAAACGCACACAGCTGAAAACAGAAAGAGGCAGTGAGAGTATTCATTTGAAATTTGCCCAGCCCCTGCACATTTCTAGGCATCTGCTGCTAACCATGTTTAGAACGCAGGAAACTGAGCTCAGTGGACCATTGATCTGAGCTACAGTGGCTGTTCTTATGTGCAGCATAATCAATCAAAGCATCCCTCAGTGACTCAGTCGCCTCCATTCACTAGGGAGTTTCAAAAGCTCAAATGACTCATAAAATAATTTGGCTTCTACTTACAAATCAGAATTTGGAGATACCTAATTCTGCAGAATACCTTTTCACATAGTATAGCCAACACAAAATAGTAATCAGACAGAAATAAAAAAATCCACAGTTAAGTGTTACTGGCTTATTAAGACTTCTCTAGGTCAAGGCAAGAAAAGCTAGTAACACTGAGATGAGAAACAATTTGCATCATATATATAGGTTAGTCTTTTTCTTCTGTTTTGTCTATTAAGCAACTTCCATGTTTTTTAGCACATCTTCATTTTTATTAAAACCCAAAGCTTCTGTGATTTCTTTTTTTTTTTTTTTTCAGCATCACTACTGAGTTTATTACTATGTAAAAACATTTGAAGTGACAGATCAATTTGTGTGTCCCTGTGCAGGTCAAAATACAGAAAATAACTGCATGTTAGGTGTAGATTCTGCTCCTAGAAACAACAGCAGTTGTTGTTGCCATAGTTTTGGCTTACTGTCTTCTGTCCTAGAAGTACATTTAAAAGATAAGAATACAAAAATTCAGAAAAGAACAAACCACCAAAACAAGATGGTCTTGAAAATGCAGTTGGGAGATCCTTTACTACACATGTGTTATGGGGCTACTAGTTACACTCCCATATAGTGAAGAAACTAACAGAAAATGGGTGGGTATTTTTACCTTTCACCAGTAACTCGTGTCCAAGAAATGGAAAATCCAAACTGGATCTGACACGTTGCCTAACTAGCATGCTCGTCACTGCATTATTTCGTCTTCCCTACCAATCCTGGGAAAACTTCAAATGTTATTTAAAGTCACTTTTATGACAGATACAGAAGGAATGCAGGGAAATAGTATTTTACTTGATTAAAGTTCCTGCACTATTCAGCACTATAATTTTTCATATGCATTCTGCTACGTTTCCTTACAGTAAACAGGGCCAGCATTTCCTCTGTCCTCAGAAGACCTCAAGAAAGTGTTCTCAGTGCTTACTCAAGCAACATCGGCAGAGCCAGAGGATTGTTTCTGCAGCTGGTAAGCAGCGGTGGGTCTGTCAGCAGGGTCTGCAGGACAGGCAGGTCTCCCACCCATCTCTCTGGCCAGCTCTCCTCAGCAGGGCACCTTCAGCTGCATTTTAAAACCTGAAAACTTTGAAACGCTTGGATGAGTGGGCTTTAGGGTTTTGTTCTAACACTAAGCATGGTGCTGCTGCCCTGCAAATACGCTACGGTACCTTGTAATATACGGCAGCTCTTTCTCGGCCCCTTTGACCCTGCAGGAACACACGGTGATCCCAGGGAGAAGACCACGTATGGAAACTGTCACAGAATGTGCTGAGTTATAAGGGACCCACAAGGATCATCAAAGCCCTGGTCCTGCACAGGACATCCTCGAGGGTCTCATCATGTGCCTGAGAGCGTTGTCCAAATGCCTCTTGAATTCTGCCAGACTCGGTGCTGCGACCACTTTCCTGGGGAGCCTTTTCTAGTGCCCCACCACCCTCTGGGTGAAGAAACTACAGCACCAACACAGTGTTACCTCCATTTAAACGCTTCAAAAGCCGGCAGTGAGGCTGCCTACACGCCGGTTTTGCTGCGCTCCGGAGCGGGCGCTGCCCCGGCGCGGCCTCCGGCGAGGAGCGCGGGCTTGGGGGCGTCACCCGCCCGGGGCGGAGATGGCGGCCGGGCCTCGGCGTCGGCTGCCCGGACTAAACATGGCCGCGGGCCCGGCCCTTGGACTACAAGTCCCAGGAGCGAGCGGGAGGGCGCGGCGGCCGCTGCCCGTGCGGGTATGAGGCGGCAGCGGGGCGGCCGGAACGCGGCGGCCGGAGCTGGCGGTGCCCTGGGCTGACCCCCTCGGGGGGCGCTGGGGCTGCGCGGGGCCGGTAGCGGGGCCCGGGCCCGCCGGGAGGTAACCGGGGCTGGGGGCGCTGGTGTTAAATGCCCGCACTTAGGCCGAGCAAGGCCGCGGTAAACAGAGCACAGCGCGGGGCGTTGTGCTGCCGGGGGTGGGGGGCTGCGGGGCCGGGGGTTTAGGAGGGAGCAGTTTCTCAGTGCTTTTCTGTAAAGCAGGTGTTTTAGGGAAGGTTGTAAAGGAGCGATGCCTCTTTTTGCTCCATAGTAATGCTGTGGTGTTCGGGGGAGTGTTTTGTTTTTGTGTCTGCCGGACTACATCTGGTGCGCTGTGGCGGAAAAGGGTTATTTCAGGACAAGCGGGTTTTGCTGAAAGTTGTATTAGCGGTAAGAGGGTGTCCAAAGGAGGGCAGCTAAGATGGTGAAAGGCCTTGAGGGGAATCTGTGAGGAGCGGCCGAGGTCATTTTCAGCCTGGAGCAGAGTGAGGCATGTCTGTCTACTTGCAGTCTACAACTTCCTTATGAAGGGAAGAGGCAGGGCAGACACTGATCTCTTCCCTGTGGTGCCCAGTGACAGGACCCGAGGGAACGGCCTGAGGTTGTGTCAGGGGAGGTTTAGGCTGGATAATAGAAAAAGGTTCTTCACCCAGAGGGTGGCTGGGCGCTGGCACAAATTCTCTTAGGGAAGTGGTCACAGCACCAGGCAGCCTGACAGAGGCCAGAGAGCCTTTGGACAATGCTCTCAGGCACATGGTGTGACTCTTGGGGTGTCCTTTCCAGGGCCAGGAGTTGGACTCGGTGATCCTTGCAGGTCCCTTCCAAATCAGAATGTTCTGTGATTCAGTGATTCTGTATTTCAGCTTATTTCCTCGGCTGAATGGCAGCTGGGAGGTTCTCACTTCAATGCAACTTCAGGCATACCAAGCTTTGCTATCTTTTGCTTATAAGCTCAAAATACACATTATTTAAACAGTGAGGAAGCTGAGATATTATTATCACTCAGCCTTCCTTCCTGTGATTTTTTTGACAGATTTCTTTCTTCTAAAGGAAAAAAAAAAAAAAGGGGAAAAAACCCACTTATTTTTCATGGCTTTAGTTGCTGAGCCGTGGTTTGGTCTCCTGGAAAAGAAATAAGAATACAGATTTAGTCTTAAGCTGGGGCTAGTGATGCCTTGAGACTTAGTGTCTTTATTTCCCTGTCATGTTAGCTTTGGGATTTGAGCCAAATCAATGGCTTTCCAAACAAAGCTCTGACTGCTTCCAGGAAAGTGATCTTCTCATTCCTTACAAATAGCCTTATGATAAAGTTAATGCAGCATGCAAAAATTACCTTTTGTAAAGGTCAGTCCTCTGAGCACTTGAAAAATCTGACACTTGAATTCAACAAGGCAGATAATAAATTGTAAATAGTTACTGGCACGGATAGAGTTTGGACACTAAATGGCACTTGTAAATCTGAGGGGGGAGAAAGGATGCAAGATCACTTTGTCAAGTCCCATTTTGCATGTCATTTAGATAAATGTTCAAATACCTTGTATATGAGTGTTTGGATATCTTGTATGCATTTACTTGTAGAGAAGGAGTATCTTGGGGAAGTCCTGACCAGGGTGACTTGGCCTCCACAGCTTTCTACAGGCGGATGTACTTGTCTGCCAGTAATGAAACTTGTGCTTTTTTGGTAGACACTCCATGCTGCCCCGCCATGTGCAGAGGCTGGGCAGAGACTGGATCACCCACTGGAATGGCTCACAGATACTCGCCTTCAACAGCCCAGTTTCCAGCAGTATGAGATGGGCCGGACACTATCCTCCATGGGCCTCGTTTCCACTCCCTATTTCATCTGATTTTTCAGCAAACTGGAGATTCCCTCCATTTTTTGGACCTTGGAGACAATTTCAGAACTCCAATTGGCACCTTGATAACTACACACAAAGTTGTTGCTTTCACCTACCCAGCCCCAGTATGAAATCTGAGGGAGAAGAACCATTGACAAAGAAGAGAAGACTCAGTGCCCAGGATGATACTTCAGGTCCTGAACAAGAAACAAACTTGTCTAATCAGAAGGAGGTATCTTGCCTTTCTGTACCACAGAATGAAGAAATACATGGCAGCAAGAAAGGTAAAATATGCTCTTTGCTAATTTTCCGTGTTATTTGTAATCCTAAGTAACACCAAATAAGTTAGAGTTATGAGCAGTAGTGCCTGCTCCTTTTGAGTTACTGTTTTTCTTGGCACCCCTCTCCGGAAAACATGTCTTAAAAATGGTCCAGTTTTGTAATGCTGTTTAGTCTGCAGACTTGTATTTTGTGCTGTCAAATAGTCTACAAGAACTAGGTTCATTGCACTTGGCAGTAGAACACAGTCAGTTGTATGAGGAATTGCCCAACTTGGAGAGTCCTGAGCTTGGTTTAGACAACACTCTCATGTCTCTGTCACCAGGTTATGTCTGTTAACCTGGAAGCTCTAAAAAGCAAAAAGATTTGGATGACTTGCTGTAAGGCTGAGCTGGGCTGGCAGTTGTATAGCTTCATTCCTTGTGCTCTGCCTGAGATCATAAACCCTACTGGACCTGAACTGGTTTCTTTCCAGACCACTTGAGTTATCTGTGACCTAGAAAACAGAATTAATGGTCTGAGTTTTAATGGTGCTTGCTTCCAGTGTGATTGTGTGATTTTGTTCTTATAGCTGTATTCTGCCACTGGCATGTTAGCAAGTTTTGTGTCAGATCTGACACATCTTGCAGAGCAAGCATTTATCCAGGTAAATACAGGAAGAAGTGCAGGGTTGTCTACTGGGCTCAGTAACAAACTTCCATGAAACTTCAAAGTGTCTGTGTTAGCTTATTACAGATACAATCTTGTACATAACATCCAAATATTTTTGGATTTTTGGAGTCTTGTGTATATTCACAGTTTTGTCTAGTGTGCAACAAATAGAGGGACACAGTCAAAATTGTTGCCGTCTTGCATAAATCACTTCCTTAGCAAAATAAACAGAAATTGTATTATGACTCAAAAGGGCAATAGATGCTATCAGCATCCCTAAGGGATTTTTGGACACAAATACCCATAATGCTTAGAAACATCATATTCATCTTCAGGTACCAAAGGAAGGGACTTTGCTTCGTGCCTTAATTATTGAGTTCTCTCTTAACCCTGCTTGACATACCTTTATCTGAGAGCGTGGCTGGCATTGTGGTCCTTCCCAGCCACCCTTTGTAAGGTGATGCTAATTAAAGATACCTGCTGAGGAGCAATGTGGCTTCTCTCCCGCCACAGAAACAGAACTTAAAGCCTCGCTGTATTAATTGCAAACTCTGTAAAGTCCTGAATAATCTAAGCACAGCAATGAAAATTCCTTCTCAAATAGGACAGATGGTAACAGCTATAACTGCAGTCTGGCAATGGTTGTGAGCACAGGTAACTGTGGATCTCACCTTGCTCTCAGGTGAGGTTAGATAAAAAGGGTAAAAAGCATCTCTGTGAGTTTTTAAGTGGAGAAATACATTCCTTAAAAAGAAATTGGATGCTTAATGATGGGCAGATATGTTATTATGAATTTTCCTACTAATAATAAGTATGAAATTTTAAACAGAAGAAAGGTGGAGGAAGCCTTTTCAGAAGTTCTTAGTAATTCTGAGACTTAATAATTTCTTAATTTCTCAACTCACTGAGGAAAATGGGGTTCATTATTTGTTTTGGGACTTCTGTAGTAGACCCTGTTGCAGCTTATGGCTGAGTTTTACGGACTGTACGCGGACTAGAGGTGATTGATGGATACCTAAACCTTTGTTAGTCATAGATAGAGAAATCAATGAGGTGCCCATATGCTGCCCTAAGGAGTGTATACCTAGACTGGCATACACAATCTCTGCTGAGGCGACAGTGGTTTAAGGCAGTGTAAGACTCTCAGCAGACTGGATTTGGCTCACCAGTTTGGCAGCCCTTCTACAGGAGCAGGGGGTGTAGTCTGATTGCAACAATCTCCTTAGAACATGCCAGTTTCTCAGTTTCAAAGCAGTTGTAATCCAGAGCATATAATGGTTTTGTGCTGTTTGTCTTGAGGTTGGGGGTTTTTTGTTTGATTGATTTTTTAAAATTTTTTTTTACTGATGCTTATATAAAATCCATTTTAAACAGAGGGTCTGAATCACTGCTAATTGAATAAGCTTTTAGAATTATTTAAGTGATTTGAAAGACAAATAGTTGTCAGTAGAATGATTTCCAAGAGCAGTAAGAAGTCATGTGGTCTATAACATAATTTTTTTCTGCTTTATGTGCGTTTAACAGGAACCATCAAAAGACACTGGGAATATTTCTGTCAGCAGAGTAAAACAATGAAAATCGCTAAAAATAAAGGATCTGACCAAAGCAGTATAGGAAGCGAGGCATCATTTGATTTTACAGTCATGTCCTACAATATTCTCTCACAGAATTTGTTGGAAGACAACTGTCACCTGTACAAACACTGCAGGCAGCGACTGCTATTCTGGACATACAGATTTCCCAATATCCTACAAGAAATCAAAGAGCTGGATGCAGATGTGAGTAGAAAATGAACATGTGGATATATCTTAATGATGAACTTAATAATGAATAAGCAAATTCTGCTGCTCTGTACTGAGATCTGAAAAAATACTGCTGTGGTTTTGGTTGGTTGTAGCATTTATTGTTTGTTTTTGAGGACACATAAATTATTTCAAGTCTTGATCAGGAAATCAAGTCAGTAAAATTTTGCTTCAGCCACTGTTCAGACCAACAAAAGCTCAGTGATAGAATCCATCTGGTTTGTGTCAGAAAACAATACTGAAAAAAGTAGTTGTATTATGGAAGCCACAGAAAAACAGCCTTGCACCATTTGAAAAATGCAGTTATGTTACTATGCAGCCATAAATCTGGAAATTAAAGTCCCTTCAAGCTCTTCCTTCCTAATAAATTTATACATCCTGTATGCATATATCTTTACAATAAGATACCTTGGGTAGCTTTCTGAGAGGAGCAGCTGCTGTCAGACCCCAGTACGTGCAGGTGCCCTTTCCACAGAGAAATCTCTTGCTAAAGGACATAGATTTTTAACTCTTCCATTGGTTGGAACTGTAACCTTAAGTGAAGCAGAGATTTCAGAGTGTTGCTTGAGATTTGATTCTCCCTTGAGACCTTGAATGAGCTAATGTCAGCTGGGCAAGTGGAATGTGTTGCTGCAGTTCAGCAAGCAGGGAAACTTCTCCCCCTTTGGGAACTCAGTCCTTTATCCTCAGTGGTGGCTATAAATCTGTGTTACTGCATCGTGCTGGGGGAAGGCTCAGAGATGCTCACAGCTGGAGTTGGACTTTATAATCCTTGTGGATCCATTCCAACTCAAAATGTTCTGCGATTCTGTGAACTCTCTTAAATTAATATTTTGAGTTTGATCTTTTATTCAGGTTCTTATAATATGGTAGCTTGTTTTCCACCCTGTAGTAGGCCATTTGCCTCTTCATCCCTTCTCCCTGAACCTTCCCCTGAACTGGTGAGAATGTAGTAGCAAGTTACTATTTTGATTAAGTTTAATCTCACCTCTGAAAATGTCTGTCTGAAAAAGGGTGGGAGGAACTGGGGCCTTCTTCATAATCTTAGGGAGCATTTTCTATAGAAGAGTGAATTCTTTGGTGGGATTATGATAATTATAATAATTATATATTAGTAGTAGTAGTAGTAGTAGTAGTAGTAGTAGTAGTAGTAGTATTATCAAAAAACTTCTGAATCTGTTTTTTTTTTTAATACCTGTACAGACTGGCCAACAGAGATATGCTGTGGTAATGTTTTGATGTACTTACTAATACATTTTAATTGTAAACCTTTCCTTAGGTGCTCTGCTTACAAGAAGTCCAAGAAGACCACTATAGAGCAGAGATCAAGTCAAGTTTGGAATCCCTAGGTATGATGAAACTAGGACCAATACATTGTCTTTTCCCCTGGAAGGGTAACTTGTTACCCTTTGGGACCTCAGTACTAGTTTCCTCAAAAAAAACTCGCATATATTATAGAATCAAGTCTTCTGCCATCACATGCAACAACGTTGTGTATCTTCTTTGATAAATGCATAAAGTGCTCTCTTGAAACTACCCTAATCTTTTTTACCAGTATGTCTGTTGAGTTGCTCTTCAAGGGCATGTTTTTATTGCCTTAAAGCCTTCCAAATATCAGCACTAAATGTCAGTATATATTCATTAGGTTTTATGCAAGTTCTGTCCAGTCAGTCTGAATAGACTGTCTTGTCACTATCCCTCGTGATTTTATGGAAGGAATGTGTTGCTAAGGGTTGATTCCATGGTGGTTTAACCTGATCTAGATCCTTTGTGCGCTGCACCACCTTCCAGTCCCAGGGCCCTGCTTCCATCCTGGCACTGGTTCTTGTCTGATGCCAGGAGGACATGGTAAAGGAGCAGCACTGGACTGATACTTTTTTCTCTTTTGGTTAGTTGAGGTAGTCTAGCTCCCAGAATTGCATGTTTGCAAAGAGAGTAATGGCAGTACTGACTAAAATCCACTTGAAACATGAAACAACATGGTGAGGCCAGGCTTGTTGGGGGCAAGTGAACTTGTAGCTACTGTACAGGAGGATCTGGAGCTTGCTTTAGCTCTTCCTTTCCCCATCCCTAGCTTCCAGATGCGTGTCCTGCCCCTTATCCTGGGCTGGTTCTGGCACTCACTAGTGAAATCCACCAGTCCTGCAGAATGCTATCCAGACTAATTTTATTTTTCTGGGTTAATTTTCTGTTGGATTACTGAGTTAGCAGTAAGTGCCACAACAAGTGGCAGGAGCAAGATGGCCTCAATCTGGGAGAGGGGAATGGGAATCCCCTGTTCTAGCACTGGTGTGAGCTCACTATTTCATGAATTCATATGCTCTGGGCAGGGCAGAGAACATTTAAAAATGGCAAAAACCTAGATACTGTTTCAAGATGGATTTTCTTTCCTTACATAGATAAGGTCTTGTTTAAATCATCTCAACATAAAATGAAGAAATTGGCAAATCACTGGATGGACTTTCTAGATTGACTTGGTTGAACTCCAGTGCTGTCATTTGATAAATGTCTCTGTTTCCTTGGTAAAAGCTTGCCACTTGCTGCTCACTGGATAATTGCATAATTATGTAAATATGTTTGAGACTTTTGTTCCATGAATCATTTTAGACACTGACTAATGATTTAGCATGATTAAGGCTTTTGATTGGTGATGCTTCACTGGTATTACTCCTAAATTCTTGTAACATCCAGAAAAAGCTTCAGTGCACAAGACCACTTTTATGGTGAGCGGGGGGCATTATTTGTTGGTTTTTTTTCCACATGAGGAGATAAGAACATGGCTTGTGGCTTAGAGTATGTACATGTTTACACATTGCAAAAGGTATTGGATCAGGCTTCCTGTCCTGGACTAGCCTCAGGTCAGATTAGGGCAGAAAGAAAAGTGAACACGAGTCTGTGTAAACATCATACAGACTTTGATACTTCAGACTGGAGGGTGACTATCATGTGAGAAAAGCAGCATGAGATTTTTCTGATTTTTCTGTTGTTTTAAAATCTCTGTGCAATAATATTTTATGTTCTTAATTGCCTTTCTTACAGGATATCACTGTGAGTATAAAATGAGGACAGGCAGAAAACCTGATGGCTGTGCCATTTGTTTCAAAACTTCCAAATTTAGCCTGATTTCTTCAAACCCTGTGGAATTTTTTCGCCGTGATATCCCACTCTTGGACAGGGACAACGTTGGACTGGTGTTGCTGCTGCAGCCGAGATTTCACTGTAAAGCCAATGCTGCCATCTGTATTGCCAATACACACCTGCTGTACAACCCAAGGAGAGGGGACATCAAACTGACCCAGCTTGCAATGCTCCTGGCAGAGATTGCCAGTGTTGCCTCTCAGAAGGATGGCTCCTTCTGCCCAATTATTATCTGTGGGGACTTCAATTCTGTTCCTGGCTCTCCACTGTACAAATTTATAAAGGAAGGAAAGTTAAATTATGAAGGACTTGCTATAGGGAAGGTAGGCTGTGCTTCTCACTTCTCACCAAAAAAATTGCTGATTGAAGAGAAATATTTGAATGGTGCTGTGATTGTTTCCATTGCAGTACCTCTCATAGTGCCCTCTCTGCAGCCTGCAAAGCAAAAGTTATTGCAGTTAAATAAGCTTGGATATATTAGCTGTGCCTTAGGGAATATTGTGTCCTCTCCCAGCATTCTGAAAGGAAAAACTCAACAGCAGTCATTCCTGAAACGTAGTGAATCCACAGGATGATTTTATCACTGTATTTAAGTGTCCCAGTCTTTAAGCAGGATTAAATAACCACTTAATCAAAACCTACTGTGTGCTCTGTGGGAAGATGACTCTTATTGTAGATAAACTTGGTGACTACGGTAATTGTAAAAGCAAAGCTGCTATTAGATGCTGAACCTCAACTGTTTCATATTAAAAGATGTCTTGTTGTGAGCTCTTGTATGCAGCTGTTGGTGTGTCACGTGCTAAGTAATAGGAGTGACTGAACTACATAAAATGAGAAAACATTGCAACAAAATAGCCCTGCTGGGTGTTCTTTGCTAGTAGGGATTCAAGCCCCCATATGACTTGACTTGCTCCCAGAAGGATCAGCGTCCTCGAGCTGAAGTGTTTGCTGGGTAGCTCTGTATGCTGAGCCAGTGCTGTCACATTGCTAAAAGTGTCCTTGGAAGTATCTCAGTGTCACAAAAACCATCTGGTACCTGCAAAGAACTTGCTAAGGATAAACAGTGTGGATGTACATAAATGGTGTTATTTTTACAGGGATTTGACTCATTATAAAAGAGTTATTCTAAGTGGCTGGGCCTTTTTCTTTAAACTATATTAAAAAAATTTAATTTATTTCAGTTTTGTTTTGTGGGGTTTGTTTTTGGTTTTTTTTTAATCAGATTTCTGTCTGAAAAAAACTTGTGTTGTCTTTCTCAGGTCTCTGGACAAGAACAGTTTCCAAGGGGACAGAGAATCTTATCTATTCCAATTTGGCCAAAAAAATTAGGTATTTCACAAAACTGTGTATATGAAGTAAAACAGCAACAAAAGGAAGAAAGTGCAGGTCAGTTTTTGGATTAATGAATTTTTGTGAGCCTTTGAAAGTATCATTCAGCTAGTACTGAAAACCATATGTTCTGTTTTAGTGGGGGAAAAACAGTGAGTCTTGAGCTTACAAAACTTTCTTGCTCGGCTCATTAAAGTGATTTCTTCACATAAACTTTGCAAATTTGAATCTTTATGAGATAATAGTTAGAAATTTCCCTTCAGGATTTGGTGTGTAATGTTTAAACTCCTGTGTTTGCATCCTGAAAGCCAGCTGTGCTGTGACTGATAGGAGGGAGGTGAAGGAATGCAGCACATGGACAGAGTGTGAACCTGCATTCTGCCTTAGTGTTTATGAATTATAGTGTTGGCATTTCATGGAACAGTTGGGAAAAGCAAGTGATTCATTGCTGAGTATGGCTACATCTTTCTTCCACTATTTTTTTCTTTGACAGAAAAAATAATTTTAAATTAATGGAACATAATATTAGAGTCTTTGGAGGGGATGTTACTAGTGGGACAGAATAATTTAATCCAGCTTGGTGAATTGTATCTCGCCTGCTGCAAAAATAAGTGTAGTTAAAGATATTTATTTTTCCTGTAGCTTTTCTGCAGCTCTTCAGTATTGCTCTCACTTATATCCTATTTGAACTCTAAATTTAATCTCTTTTTGTTTTGCAGGAGAAAAATTGGAAGCAGCAAAACCAGACAACACTCAGGAGATTGTAATAGCATCTGAAAAGTATGTATTGGGGGAAAAATATGGAAGTCCTTGGCTGTTTACTTGTGGGTTAGTTTTGGTTTTAGACCAAATTTTATATCTGATTCCAGCTGTGAATACCCGATGATCACCCAACCCAGTCTGCCCTTTTGGCAAAAACATCATTGTTCATTTAAACATTAAAAGGCTGATCAGACAGCAAAAGACTAGAACTGGCAATAGTGGAATGTGTTTTCTTTCAGGAAGTTGCAGATACTTTTTCAGAATGCAGGGCTGAGGTGTGAGTGCTGTTTAGAGGCTACATTGTACCTGCTTATTAAAATAATGCTTCTGGCATGTTATGTCACTTCTTGACAGAGCATTGTCCTTTGTAGAGAGATTGCAAGAAACATGAAATCAGTCCAGTTGCAGAAGCTATGTTTTTAAAAGAGGGAGAGGAAAAAAAAAACAGTGTTTTCCAGCTGCTATAGTATTGGCATGTCTCTCTCTCTTTTTTATTGTTTTTGATACACTTTTTATGTTTATGTTTTTACTTTTTATGTTTATGGATGTAGTAAAATACTATAATGCAGTGTGAAACTGGGATGAAGGAGGGAAAGGAACTGGAAAGGTCATAAAATCTTCCTTGTCATGAGTTCTGTGGGAGAATTTAAGTTCTTTGAGTGTAAGAAACGTGGAGTAGTATGGATTTGGTAATGCAATTTTCACTCAGAAGGAGGAAGCCATGGCTAGAATGCTGATGAGGAAAATGTAACTGCTTTTTGAAAGCAAGAATATATTTGCATTTACCAAACTGGTAAAGGCATATAAAGTAAGGCATAGAAAAAGGAAATTGCCCTAAATGTGTGTGTGGGATGTCAAACTCCAAGTCAGCCATTTCTTACCAGAAATGAGATCTTGGTATCACTGCAGATATTCATATGAGAATTCTTGGTGATGAAAAACGTGTCATGGCATTTCTGAGAGAAGAAATAGATAAAAAACAGGAAGCTCTATGCTATGGTTTAAATCCATAGCATGCTGAATACTTCTTGAAGGGTTTTTTCCCCTCATCTTAAAAGGGATGTCATGTAACAAAAGCAGAAATTACTACTTGTCTGTGTTGTACCAACTGGCATGTTTGCTCTGAATCAGGCAAAGTAACATGCTAATTTTTTTTTAATTGCTTGGGTTTCCACCAGAACACATTGCAGCCCAGGTTTAAAATGCAAGATGAGGCAGGTACAGCTGAGGGATGGATGATTTGCAGAGATGATGGAAGCAAATGTCTGAAAGACAGGAGTTCTTTTGCTGAAAGGTGCAGTTTTGCAGTTTGCTTTCAAGATTGGAAAGACAGGTGAGACAAGATGGGCTGAACTGAAGAGGAACAGACAAATAATGGGGAGACAGAAAATGGGAGCCTGAATGGAAGAAAGACATAAGCATAGCCTAACTTGGAAGCTTGATACCTCTAGCTTGGGGGAGGAAAAACCTCTAAAAATCTGAATTTCTCTTTATGCTGAAGGGCCTGGTTAGATGAGTTTGTGTTTTGTTGCTTTCATATGAGCTGCTTTCACGGACATTCTGCCTGCGTGTTGGGGAGAGATTGGTGAGTGAGGACATGTGAATGCATACAGAATGTATATGGAGTTGAAAGCTATCTATAATTAAAGTGTCAGCTAAGCCAGTTCTGATCAGCTCTTTGACTTGAAAATGCTGCCTGCATTTTGCCTTCAGAGTTTTAGGCCTCTCACAAAAGGTTACGGGATGGCTTGCAGGAGAGAAGCACTAGTTTGCATATTCAGATAATTCATTTTGTTTGTAACCAGGAACTATTACGTATTTCTTCATTGCTTATTCCTTCTTGCAAGAAAATAAAGTTCTTTCCTTTGATGTCTCTTTAGGTTGTCTTCAAAATTGCAGCACCATTTTAAATTGTCTTCAGTCTATTCTCATTACTTCCCTGAAACTGGGATACCAGAAGTGACAACTTGTCATTCCCGAAGTGCTGTCACCGTGGATTATATTTTCTATTCTGCAGCAAATGATAATACTGTTACCCATACTTACCAGCCAGGTAAAGAAACCAACTTTTAATTTTCATAGATGCTAAACAAGTATATCTGTTTGCTGTTGTAAGAAAAGTATAGTGATAATTTCATCCATGTGAAGTACCTCAGATGTTTGTGGTAATGCTTTGAATGTCAGCTGTTACCTGAGAAATGTGGCTGGTCTTGTCAGCTACCACAGCTGGACTTGTAGTGCTGCACAGGGCAAACCTTTTCATCTGACTGAACATTTCTGTAGTTCCTGTCTTAGCATGGAGACAAGCTGGAGGTACAGGAAAGCAGCAGTGGAAGTAGCACCTGAGAAATACTGCTGTCAGTAATGCAGGCCAGACCTACAGCAAGGCAGTATTCACAATCATTTGATCGACACAATGGTGAACAGCAATTTATGATGTGCATTAAAACTGATAAAAGAACCATTACCTGGCAATTTACTTCTCAGCTTGTCTTGCAGTAATTTCTGCCAAATAACTCTTGGCCTTTGCTCTGAGCACGGTCACTGGCACGGGCCCAGCTGTCACTCTCTGGTTTGCAGTTGCAGCAAAAAGTCACCAGATGGTGCAAGAAAGTCGCGGTACCTCTGTGGGACTTCCGTGATGGGTATCAGTGTTTCTCCACGCTTTACTGCTCTGGGACTTGTTCCGTGGGTGCTTCTGAGCAGTTTGCTGTCCATGCCCTCATGAGTTCTGTGTTTTATGCCATCAACAAACATCAGTATAGTGCTAACACATAAATGTCTCTGCAGAACTTGGAGCAAAGAAACATGGATTCCATTCCTGCTCCCACTGCAGAGTGCAACTGATTTTTATAAATTAACCCTGTTTTCAGTATGTGGAATGAAAACACCACCTTCATCTCACAACTTGAGACTAGATTGTTAAAATTCATTGAGTCGATTCACAAAAGTCTAATTTGTCATGACATGCACAATAAATGCTACCTTAATGTAAAATGGTAAATACTAAAGCTTTGACTGAAAAACCACAATATGGCAAGTATTTTAATGATTTCTGAATGCCATGTGATTTAATAGAGTACTGTGTGATTCAGAGCATGTCCCTGCACAAATTTTAATCCAAATTCACCTGTTTTTATATTTTTTGCATCATCATTGCTCCAGAAGCGATACAGCACTTCTAGCACTTTTTTTTCAAATAGATTGTTCCCACATCAGAGCACAGAATGGAACCAAACTTAAATTTTCCAACTACTTTGAACTAGTATAGTTTTTATTCATGAGCTCTTAGAAATTAAGCCATGGTTTTGATTTTCAGTACAGACTCTGGCAACTTTGAATACAGATATTCAAAGTTGCCAGAGTCTGTACAAGTGAATTTTATGTGTGGTCTGGGCTCACTGATTGTTTTTTCAATTGAAAGGGTTTTATTTTAAGATATTCATGCTTTATTCTGTCATGTTTAGCCAAATATTTGGTTTGGTATTCAGTATTTCCTGTAATCAGGGTTCAGTATCTACCTGAGTTATGCAGGGCACAATTTTGCTGAGTGTTCTGAGTGACATTAATCACTGCATGCAGACCAAGTTCTCTGTGGCAACAAACTGCTTCTTTGTAGATATGCAGGCGCTGTCCCAAATGATAAATTTGTCTCAAGACCTGGTGGATGTGTGCTCTAGAGCTGCCAAGAGATCTTTATAGGGTAAAAAAGCTTTTCTTTAGAGCAGCAAACAGCTGCTGGGTTGTTAAAGGGCTGGAAAGAAGGCAGATGGCAAAGGATGAAGCTATTGAACTCTCTAAGGAGTTTAGCAGTTGCTGGGTAGTCCTTTAAAGTACCTTTTGGGAAGCCAGTAACAGATTCAGCCAGGAAGTTCTGAATTTGCTGAGAACTTACACACAGAAAGTATTTCTGTCAAAAGTCACAGCTGCAGTTTGTGCTGGTCCTGAAAGCACTCAACTTGCCCAGTATCATCTCTGCATTCTGAAAGCAATAGGTATGGCTGCTGAGTAGTTGTCTAACTTGAATATATAGCTCAGGAAATCTAAATTTTACACATCTTAGAAGGATCTCAGTGGAACTTCTCCACCTGAGCTGAAAAAGCTGGTTGCTCTTTGACGAGGGGCAAATTGTGCCTGACAAATCTAGTGGCCTTTAGTGGCAGGGTTACAGCAGTTGTGGAAAAGGGAAGAACAACTGGTGCCATCTACCTGGACTTGTTCAAGGCATTTGACACAGTCCTGCCCAACAGCTGGAGAGATGGATTTGGTGGCTGCACCACTTCATTAATTGTCTGGAAAAAAACAGTTGCCATCAATGGCTCAGTGTCCAGGTGGAGACAAGTGGCATTCCTCAGTACGGGGTCCAGTGCTGCCCCGTTCCTGGAAGCCTCCAAGGTTAGACTGGGTGAAGCTCTGAGCAACCTGGTCTAGTGGAAAGTGTTCCTTGTCCTGGCAAGGGGGTTGGAAGTAGATGGTCCCTAAGATCCCTTCCAGCCCAAACCATTCTATGTAATTATGTAATACTTGCAAAACTTGTGCCGTGTTTCACTCTTGCATGAGCAGTGTGGTGTTTCATCTGGGGAAGGAGGTGGAGGTAGGTTTCTTAGGTAGTTACAGGAATAGGTAGCAGGAGATAATGAAGATCCCTTCCTTATGATGAACAGTTAGGGAATAGAAAGCGAGAATACCTTCATCCTTATGAACAGAAGTGTCTGTATGACCTGCCTGCTGGGGAGCTGTGTGCTTGAGAATACAGAAATAAAATGTTATGTGAACCAGTAACTCTAAAAAGATACTTAACTTCACAAGTGTCAGCTTTGTTTAGCAATGCTGTTGTCTAAAGTAATGGACTGGATTATATGAGGCTTTTTCAGGTGAGTTACAATGAACAAATAAATGCATTTTCCTTTTTACTTCTGTTTACCCTTCTGCAAAACAGTGCCCTTCTGAATGCTTTGAGCTCTACTGATGAAACTCTACTCTGAGGGTCATAAAAGAATTTCTGAACTGTCTTACTAGTGATTTTGCATGGAACAGTAACAATTTTGGATTATTTCCTCCTTCTACATCTGTATGAACATTTGATATTTAGTCCACACTGATGAACATTTCCTTTTGGTTTGTTTTTTCTAACAGGAGCACAGGATTCTTTTTGTGGGGGTCTGAAACTTCTTGGCCGGCTGGCACTTCTAACAGAGAAAGATCTTTGGACTGTTAATGGTCTTCCCAATGAAAAGAACTCTTCTGACCACCTGCCACTGCTAGCAGAGTTCAGGCTTATTGAACGGTAATATCCAAAGGACTTTCGGTGTAGGTAAAGTTCCCTTTACTTTCTCTCTTCATGAGATGATTATTATTATTTTTTTAAAAGGGTAATTGAAGCACTGCTGGTCCGGTTTACATAAGTTTGCCTGCATGCTGATTTGTTAGTGTTAAGTAGACTTTCTAATGGGACTTTGCTTTTTTTAAAAAAAACCAAAAACCTGTTTAATTTACATTATGAAGTCTTTTAGGGAGAAAAAGAGAAGATTTTACATTAGCTGCCTCTTTGATAAAGGAAAACATCTGTGCCAGACTCAAAATGGCACTGTTTTTCATGGATATGTTGTAAATTATTTTTATTGTAAATCACAGTAAAAACGACTATTCTGAGAACTGTGTGTTTCTTCAGGCAAAAGGGAATGTGTTTGTGTGCCTGCAGCATTTTATAATGAGTTGTAAATAATGTTTTACTACAAATGTGCTCTGTGGACACTTCCATCTTAACACTTCTTCAAAGGAGTTTACTCAGTGTTCTTGGTGCAGAGGCCACAAGATTGAACTTTCAAAGGAAGAAAGGCATATAGGCAAATATTTGTGCTTTAAGAATTTGCTGCTTAAAATTCTAAGGGCTTAAATAGAGGTAGCATTCACTGAAATATTTTTTAAAATATCTGAAATAAAGCTAAGCTTCATGAACACATCACAGGAAACTTAATTGATCTATTATAGGAGGAAAAGAAAATATTAGTCCTTGACATCTTGGGCTTCTATACATATTGAACAACTGATGACAGGGTGGGGTGTTTTCCATATTGTTATTAAAATGTCAGATCCTGAGGTATTAAATGATCAAGATTTTATATTTACTCTCACTATGCACTCATAGACATCCTGTGTAAAATACGGTTTACAAAGTAATTAAAAAAAACACCAGACTGCCTGAATAAGAAACATAAAGCTGGAACTTGGTCAAACTACACATGGATGTGGATGTAGAACCAAATTTGAAGTAACAGAATTGTCTTTCACTGTAGTGCTGGAAAACCTGTACCCATTCAGAAACATTTGTCTGCCAGAAACAGTTGTGGAATTTTCACCTGTATTCCCTTTCCCAGACTGCAGACAATTGCAATTACTTTGTTCTTGGAGAATAATGCAGGAAGTACAGTGGTAGTAACCATAGAACCCATCGAATTAAAGAAGTTCCTCAGAGTTCTGTTACAAAATATGAGCACCTGCCAAAACATTCAGCTTACACTGCTGAGAATTTGGAGGGGGCTACTTTCATCACAGGCAGTTATAACTAAAGATCTTTCTTTAAGATCTTTCTTCTACCTGTTAACAGTCAGGTTGATGCTGAGGATGACAGCCTGTTTGGTCCTGGATGCTGTTTAGTTTCAAGCATCTGAGTAATCACATAGATGCCAGCATACTTAGACAGAGGCTGCAGATCTCTGGGTACATCCAGGTTACAGCTAAAAATGTTGTTCAGCTGTAGCAACTCTTCTTAAAAGCAAGGACAAAAGAACAAGTCATTAAAAAAAAGACTACCATGATACTTTTATTGATGTTTCATGCTGTGCATATACAAGTGATGAGAAAAAGCCCAAAAAGTCATGCATGTTTTTCTATACTATTTGACCACTTTGCTGTCACTTGAACCACACTTAAGACAAATGCCATCATAAGCAAGTTTCAAGAGAATATTTCAGCAGAACTTTAAACAGGAACCAAAAGCAATTTGTCAACACATCTCTACAGCATTAAAAAGCTTCAGTATCAGTTAAGAGAAAATAAACTGTGCTGGACAAGGGTAGAAACTATATACAGCCATTATTTGAGCTGAAGGAAACTATGGTTTCATAGAAAAAACTTGCAACATATCAGATAACATTGTGCTATAGGATACAGCTGATTAAAGATTTTCCACATAATTTTATCAATGAGAAGTCATAAAAAAAATTGTTTAGGTCACAAGACACTGGGCAGCACAAAGTTTGAAATCAAAACTCTGCAGCTGCTCTCAAATTACACAAAAAAATTTACCAAAAGAGTATTTCCCTCTCTTCAGCTTCACTCCTTAACCAAAAAATCCTTACTGGGAACACAGGAGAGGAAAAGTTTAGAGAAAGAGGGATGGGAAAGGCCTTCCTGTTATTGATATGGTAATTTTGGATAAAGAAGTGTCACACTTCTGAAAAGTTTTCTTTCTAGAGCTTCTGAAGTCTTAAATAGTAGAAAGCCTTTCACTGCCTGTAGAAGGCTGCTGGGTCTTGGCTTTTTCTTCCTGTCCCAGGCAGGTGAAATTCAGTTTTTTGAGAAATGAGGTCTGTGTACAAGCAATTCTTTCCTTCTGTATTCATTCATTTTCTGGCTGATGTAAGTGTTTTAGGAGCTTAAATCATTCAGTCTGAATCATTCAGAATAAGCCTTACTGTCAGTCTGTGACAGCATCCATCTTCATTGAGATCCCAAAAAAGTAAGTGCCCAGGAGGGGAGGTACACCAGGCCCATGGCAGCATCATCTGTGAGCACAGCACAAAGGGTAGAGGCTGGACATGTACGATAATCCAGTTTATATTTAGGCACCTAATGAAACATTTCCAGGAATGCAGCACTCAAATACTTTCAGAGAACTTCACTAAGTTGAATGGCGGACCCCAGCAAGTCTTAACCACGTCACTTGAAAACACTGCTGTCCATCACAGGTCCTTAGCCAAGTCTTACAACAAAACAACTGAGTAGATGGAGGAGGGAGGAAGCAGACAAGCTTGATTTTCATCTATTTCAGCCATACTTCCTTACTCAAGGCTGACTAAGCAGTTGTTAATACAAAATGTGTAGGAAAACTCCCTGCACAGCACGGCAGAAGGTTGCCTGCTATGTCTGATGTAATACAAGGTGTCAAGGCATCACCATAGGAGACTGCTCAGCCTTTCAAAGACGAGGTTCAAATTTGCACATAAATGTGGAGAGAAAAGCACATAGACTCAGGTTAGCAATTCCCACATTTTTCCATTATTCCAGGTACTACATATATGAGAAAAAAGCTGACTTGTCTCTACAAAACAGCAATCTCTATTTTTTGTGCTTCAGCGGTGTAGTTCAGAAAGGCTAAAAGCTTGTGACAAAAGTATAAAAAAAATTATGAAAGTTTAAAAATTCATTATTCATTAATTATCATCATTTAAAAAACCTCAAACCTCATATCTTGCCTAACAAGATGTCAGTGTTAAGAATACACTTGCATATTACTATTACTTAACATCTTTTGGCAACATGCAAAAAAAAATAATACAGGTGGCAGTAAAACATCCAGTGCTGTTTTAATACTCCCAGTAATGCTGGAAAACAGTACAAATTAGTTAGAAAACAATAATACTGACAGTTTTGCATATCTATTAAGTCTAGTGAGGTAATATTGATACTTTAAAAACTTATGCCACTTCTGCACTGCTTGCTTTTATTGCTGAATTAAAGATTAGTAAATATGTTTTTTTTTAATTGCACTGCACCCCAGCACATCTTAATACTAAGAATATGATTTGTTAGTTATTCCAATGCTACCACCCAGCACAAGGCCAAGTTCAATTAACACTTGTACGGGGAAATTATATTTGAAGAAACTCACACCACTGGAGTCACCTGCTACATGATGGGAGAGAAAAAAAATCTCATATCCTGGCAAATCTAATCTTAGGTTCTCTCTTCACTGATGCTTTATTTATAAATTGAAATAAATACTGCCACCAAAAAAAATTACCCCCTATTTTCTAGGTCAAACTTTTATTGTGAGAGTACATAAGTTAATAAATAGTCCCATTCCTTTTTCCTTCCAAGGGAGTGCAGGTAAAGTGCAGCGGCAGCAGCGGGAAGCCCTCTGGAGTCCGTGGTCTGGCTGTGTCAGATGCGGAGCTGGTAGCCCACCTCGTTGAGTGGAGCCAGGTCTCCTTTCTTGTCCAGCACCGCCGGCCTGTGCACAGGGGAGGGAAGAGGGCACTGCTGAGTGGTGATCCCGCACAGCCGTGCAGGTGTGGACAGCACAGCAGTCACACGGGGAAAAGCTTGCCTCAGAGGAGCGCTGGATAGAACTAGTGTTGTCATCTGAAACACAATCCTGGTAAATCTGCTACAGGAACTACTGTGACAGAGCTATCTGTGTGTTGCCTCTGAAGCCATGAATCGGTGAAGGACAAGCTCTGCCATGCTGGGATCCAGGATGTGAGCCTGAAGCACCCCCTCCTCCTGACTTGAGAGACGGCCTAAATGAGTTACAACTAGATACACCCCACCTGTTCGTCTACCCTGGAGCAGGACTCCCAGCTTTCAGAATAAAGCTGAAAGAGCTGAGAGCAAATAGCCAGGGCCTCTCACATGGCCAGTGCGTGTTGGCTCTCCCAGCCTGTCCCTTCCTCCTGGCTGGGTCTGTGTGAAGGGCTGGAGCCCACCAAGGATCCCTTCAGTCTCCTGGCATCCAACATTCTGATACCATTCACCTGAGTAATCACACACACATGGATGCTGTTAGGCCATTTAAGTATTCCCACAGCCTGAACCAAAGGAACCCTTGAGCTATCAATCTCTTTTTAGCAAGCAATGGAAAAGCTCCTGCAAAAAAAAAGCTGTCAAACCAAAACTGTCCAGCTAATTTACAGTCTGTGGAAGGGTCTAATCTGAGAGTTTATTGCTGGCTCTTGGCTGTTTTCACACTAAGCCGTCTGTTTGCTTTTCTAAAGACAGACATTGTTTAAAGCACGCTTTTCTCTAGTACTCTATAGCATGTCTGCTTCCCTGCAGAAACACAGCTAAGGCCCCAGTAGTACAATGGGAGGCTGATCATGGCTCCAGTGCTTTCAGCTCCTCAGCCCCAGTTTCCAGCTCTGTGTGGTTACCCTTTGCTCCCTCTGCAGCAGACGTGATTTGCACAGCCAGGCTGGCGCTTATCTCCCCGCTGCAGGCTGCCAGCCCCAATCCCGCTGGAGCAGCTCAGGGCAGGCAGCAGGGCCCCGGGAGAGGCAGCAGTGCCACAGGCAGGCTGGAAACCAGGGAAAGCCCAGCCCTGCCTGGGGCACACTCCAGGGAAGAGCTGTACTGCTGCAGCCCCAAAAACTGGGAGTGTATAGCTCACACACACACATGTGTGCAACAGAGCCTCTAAAGTATTTTTTAATCCTTTGATTCAATAAGGATTTTTTTTTTTTTTTTCTTTTTAAGAGCAGAACGACTAACATCAAATCCCTGCTGGGAATCTGCACTGCATTTGAGAGCTGGGAACATTGCTATGGACAGTTAATGCTCTTCTGCTTCACGGCACATTGAGACCTGTTGCTTTGCCACTTATCTAAGCACCTCTCGTAATAACCCCCCACCATCCTCACTGCAGTATGG